CCCTCCCTCATGTCTACTCAGGGAAGAGCAATTAGTTTTTATTTTTTAGTGTTTGCATTATCATTGAACATAAATCTTTCTTCAGTATCAGCTATAAAAAGTCAGTACAGGATCCAGCTTTAAATATAAACACGATTATGAGTGTAAGGGGGAAATTATTGACGGTAAGTGGAGTAAACACATTTTTGCACAATTCATTTCTTAAGGAGCTTCTAGAACATAAAAATAAAAGATGTGTCTATACTTTAAATTCACTGTCATCATTAACTGTTATGATGCAACTGAAATTTTTGTTCAGTGATAGAATCAGAAAAAAAGTATTTGTGGTCTCTGAGGTTAATGGGATTAACACATACATGTAATTCAAAGAACTCTTACATTTTAAATAGGATATATATATATTTAAATAGGATATATACCTTTCCCATTTCAAACACCTTTCTTTCTTCCTGTGTTTTGCAGTCTTTTTTTCCATTCTGCAAATAGAAGCCTCCTTGTTCTAGGTGTAGGCTGTCTTTATTTTGTAAAGGATGTGTTTCTATCAAGACCCATATTAGGGAGTTTTCAACAATCAGGTTTTATTAAAAAAAAAAAAAAAAAAAGAGTTTGTGGGGGGTTTTGTTAGTGGGGAAAGTTTTTGTTTTGTTTTATTGTTGTTTTTCCAGAAAGTTAAAGGCTTTTACCAGACTGGTTTTGAGGAGGTTTCTTGGTTCTGGAAGGTAAGAGAATTATAAGAGTTTAAGTGGTTACATGCAGGATAGCTGCAAACTTTGATGCATGGGAAAAATGAAGTTTGAGAAAGTTAAGCTTGAGCAGTTACTTTACAACACTGGTAAGTGTTGCAAACGTTGGTGTGTCCTATCTAAAGATAGCATCCAGATCCATTGCCTATGCAGGGGTAGGTGCTTCTGACATTTCAAAAAGTCTAGTTTTTGTATCAGCACAGAATAAAAATAATTAACATGAGCTGGGTATTTTTTAGTGAATTTCTTCTGTTCTGGTCAAACACTTTTGACTCTTCAGATCTACTTTGTGCTTAATAAATTCTTTTATTTAAAAACCTAAATGCTATCTCAAATTAATTTCTTTCATATTTCTTCCCATGTTCTAGTCCCTATATGCTTGTTATGTATGTTTATTATGTTTGTCTCATTTAAATAGGCAATATGAAGTACCAGATACAATGGTAACTGGTCAGAATCCTGTTATTTAACAAGGAAAAAACCCCAGCCCTCCAAATAGGAAGGCACAATATCTCTCTTGTACTGTTGGCTGATAAGAAGGAGTAAAGGCATGAGACTTTTTTCTGCTTTTGGACCCATTCAAGTAGTGTGAAAAATCTCCCAAATGGGAGGGACGTAGCAGGAATAAAAGGGGAAGGTGGACCTCTGACAGATGCATGTGAAGTGAAAGGCAGGGAGATCATTCAGCTCTTTGAAAAAATGTGATAGGCTCTTGCAGCCGCTTGTGAAGCAGTGATTTGAAATCTGATGAACTCTTTCAAGTGTAGGAGCCTGATTCTGCTCAGCTGTGTAATTGTGATGGAAGGGAGCCAGCTGAAAGCAGAGACCTGGCTGCAACCTTTTGGAAGGCTTGTTCTGGCAGAGTGGGTGGGAAAGTAAAGAGAAGGTTACAAATACTAAGTTTCTCTACCTGATTGATAATGAACCAGTAATAAGTGGACTTACTATAGTAATAACTTTCCCATGGAAGCCTGATGATTGCAGAAAAGCTTTTCCTGAGTGCATGTGACCACATCTTACTCTGATCAGCTGTAGCACAGCAAAGCTGTGTAATTATCATAATCTAACAATTAGCCTGGCATCCTTTCCCAGTGTTTAATTACTCCAATAAATGGTAATTGAATAGAGGACTTAATGACAAGAGAATAAGTTTCTTTTTGCACTGTGTACTTAACTTGCAGTCTTTTCTAGGCATGATTTTTGAATAATGTTTTTTGAACAACAGCCTTGATTAGTTGTTTCTCTTTTGTTCTGTCAGTCAGTATTTTGCATCCTACATTGTGTTTTCTTATGGTGTTTTGAACTTGTCTTAACTTGTGAAAGTGTTACATAAGGACTAAAAGGTCACAGACAACTCCTTTATATGAGAGGGGGGTTTTTTGTTTGCTTGCTCAGGGTAGCAATATCCTGCTGGAGACCTAAAATGTCACTGGCTTGCTACTGTTATCAAACCCACTTCTCTTAGCATCTGGAAAATGTTGAATTTTCTTTTGGTTTGAATAGAGCTAAAATTAAAACAGCTCTTTGATTACTTCATTGTTTGTGCATCAGAGTCATTGTTGATGTCAGCAGAGCTATGGGAACAGAGTTTATTAAATGTTGTGACAAAGCCAGTAAAAAGAGCAGAAAAGCATTAAAGAGGTTATTTTTTTTGTAGCACAGAAATAGCATCTTTAAAATTATCTGCAGTAAAATCGTACACTTAATCCCTCAACCCCTCAGATAACTAACAACCACAAGATTTCCCCTATCACATGTAACAGCTTTAAATTAGTTGAAATGAGGGGACTCCTGTCTGAAGGAATACTGAGGCACAGGTTACCCTGCTGTGTTGCAGTCATAGCATATGAATAGAGCTTGAGATGGTCGGATGCACTACTACACTTATCACCTAAACAGGGGCAGAAGCTATGAGCAAGCTCGGTAGTGGAATGGTAAATAACTGACATCATCACATCCTAAGAGCAATTAAAGTGGTGTCCTTGTAAAGGACGTTAACATTTTCCAGAAAAAAATGTCTGTATTGTTGCATATACAAATACTTATTTTATATTCCTCTCTGTTTTTAATAATTTAAGCAAAGAGTTTCATAGCTAGTTAACAGAAATAAGCTTGATTTTCAACCTATTTCTGTATTTTTCCAGTTGAAGCTTTTCCTGTGTCTAGAGCATTTGTAAAAGATGTATATTTTGTCTCATAAGGTTTAACCTACTGGTGGTTCAGCCTTTGTTGGGATACTTACTGGATCTTCCCACCTTGCTGCCTTTCCCTGATACTTGTAGGAACTTCTCTGTGAGACCTCTCTGTCTCCTTTAAATTTAGTTAAAACTGACTTAGTGACAGTGAAAGTAAAAAGGAGGAGCTGAGTGACCAGCTGATTTACAGGGCTATTCATATGTGATGATGGCAGAAGCCTTTTTATCCTTCAGAAGTAGAAAAGTAGCTTTCTGCTGAGCTGTTTCTGAAGAACAATGGGTGACTATGATTTGTGTTTACCCCGAGAATAAATAGTTTCAGTGAATTTTGTTGATGTTGCTTTGCATTTCAGATTATCATTTGAGAGCGAGGGGCCCAGGCAGCGAAATTGCAGCCAGTTGCATCTGATCACTTCTGATGCCAGACTGAAGATCAGAATTTCATAATTAATTGTTAGAGCAGTTATTTGAAGTCTTTTCTGATTCACAGTGAAGCCTTGCCGCGTGCATTTGACAGAACAGGTTCCAAATAAAAAAAGGTTGACATAGCAAAAGGAAAATTTTCTGGTACACTTATGTTGAAGTAGAGCATCTGGTGTGTTGATTTTACAGAAAGGATGATAGAATGTAACTAATAGGATTTGTATGGGAAGCAACAAACAGAAGCTGTTGCAATTTTTTGTCTATCTAAATTATAATGGGCAATTAGTATTATTTGTGCTATTCTTAAATTGGATTTTTATTGTGCTTATTCCAAAAAGAAAGGAAGAAAGGAAAAAAAAAAACCCAAACAACACTATTGTTGCATTCTAAATATCTGTTTAAATAAATCATCACTTGTTTCAGTGACCAGCAAAATTATTAAATTCAAGATGAGCCACAGATGCATCAGCTCTTAAAATTATGAAGAGAAGCATGCACACAGACTGTGTACTTTCACTTGTGTTAATGGATAAACAGAATACAGGAACATTTTTTGTTAGTCTTGTGTTTCTGTGGTTAAAATCACCATTAAGCTCTTTCTCTACATCCTGAATACTTGGACATTTCATCAGTGGCACTTGAGCACAGAATCACAGAATCACAGAATGTTAGAGATTGGAAGGGACCTCGAAAGATCATCTAGTCCAATCCCCCTGCCGGAGCAGGAACACCTAGATCAGATCACACAGGAACGCATCCAGGCAGGCTTTGAATGTCTCCAGAGAAGGAGACTCCACAACCTCTCTGGGCAGCCTGTTCCAGTGCTCTGTCACCCTCACTGTAAAGAAGTTTTTTCTCATATTCAAGTGGAACCTCCTATGTTCCAGCTTGCACCCATTGCCCCTTGTCCTATCACTAGATGTCACAGAGAAGAGCCTGGCTCCATCCTCCTGACACTCACCCTTCACGTATTTATAAACATTCATTAGGTCACCCTTCAGTCTCCTCTTTTCCAAACTAAAGAGACCCAGCTCCCTCAGCCTTTCCTCATAAGGGAGATGCTCCATTCCCTTCATCATCTTTGTGGCTCTGCGCTGGACTCTCTCTAGCAGTTCCCTGTCCCTCTTGAACTGAGGGGCCCAGAACTGGACACAATATTCCAGATGCGGTCTCACCAGGGCAGAGTAGAGGGGGAGGAGAACCTCTCTCGACCTACTGACCACATTCATATGACTGTCTTTGCTGGAAGAAGTAATCAAGTTTTGTGTAGCAAGCTGATGTTTGTTGGTTATGGAAATGTTTAGATTTGGAAGCTACTTAATTATCTGTCTCTGTCTTCAAAATCGTTTTTGTAGCCTACAAATAGTTATCTGTGTAGTATGCAGGTTTCCAAGACACTGAATGCCGCCTAAGATAAAACAAGGTTTAATTATGTTTGAAGAAAAGCTCTGTTTTGCTGTGTGTAAGCCAGAGTGCATAGAGACAAGTGACAGTTTTTGCAAGAAGGTTTGTAGATCCTATCAGAGTTTTGGAGAAGCGTTTTTGGTTGGTTTCTACCACAATACAATGTTCTGTTATGCAAAATCTAGGTAGGACTGGTTTCTTGCAGTGAGATTATATGAAGAAGCCTGATTACCGCATGGCTCCAGAAGGTCATGGGAGTCCAGATGAGGATCTGCCAGAACAGGATGAAGAAACTGAGAAAAGGAAAAGAACATCAGTAGCATTGCTGGAGACTGTAGGAAAGCACACTTTCTATTCTGAAGGGGACTGGAAGAAGGGATGAATTTACTACACCTTAAATGCAGCCAACAGGAGATCCGTTATTCCTGTCACCTTTACAAACATATCTGTTAACAGATTGCCCCTTCCCTCTGCCTGTTGTGCTTATGTGGCTAAACATTGATAAATGCTTTAATTTGGAATGGAACATTTGTTTCTCTCTTAATACCTGACATTACACTACTAATAAGAAGTTTTCAGCCTGTAAATGTTAAGTGTCTTCCTCTTGGATGTGGTTTAAAATTCTTGGAAATACGTTTCTGAAGTGTTTGCTTTAATAGCTTTGAGGAGTCTGAGCTGATGAATTTTTTTTTTTTAAGTTATTCATGGCCATTGCTTGCCTTTCTGTTCAGGTTAGAGGCCTTTGTTTCCTCTTTGAGGAGTTAAATAGAACACACTGCCATGTAGCTGGATGAATGAGAACGGTCTCAGTGTACTTTAAAAGGCATGCTGGAGATTTTGTAGCCTCTTTTGCAAAAAATAAAATTAGTTCTACATTTCTTCAGTACACATACTGAGGTTTTGGTTACTGACTTCGTTAAGTATTACAAGAGGGGAAATAAATACCTGCTTTCTTCTTAGTTAGCTAATAACCACTTTTCAGTGTTGCTGTTACTATATGGAGTGAAGAAACTTTACTCAGAGCTGCTTGATAAAATGTCTTGGTACATGTTTTCCCTGGAGCACTGCTGGGCCAGCAGAGTCAGCTAAAGGCCAGTTTAGATCATTTAAAATATGCACCATTGTCTTCCTTTTTTAGACATGTAAATGTAATAAACACTTTCTGGCTATGGCAAGCGACTGTGGAATTAAAATACTGAGAGAGCAGGGGAGCAGGGAGGCAAGGGCTTTGGAATAAAAGGACTTCGTTGTGTACTTCACCCTCAGACCTGCTTTGCAGGCAGCCCTTGCTTCTTAGTTTCCACGTGTTTGACAGGCAAGGGTGTGCTTGGGCGAATGAAGACACTCAGCTGCTTCGGCACCCATTTCGGGAAGCAGAAATAAGAATGAGTCTACTAAAATACCAGTGATCAAAGAGGACAGCTCTGTTGTGGTTTTGTTTGTTTAACAATAATACAGTAGGGGACTTTGCCTAAAGGGAGTCAGATGAGCTCTTGGTTTGCAGCATTGGGTGGAAGAGCTCACTGGTCCAGTTTACAAGTTTGATTTCATTGCTAGTGCAGATTTAAGTGTGATCACAAATTTAGTTGTCCATCTCTTTGTATTTATCAACTCCATTATCATAGACTGTGCGGTCGGTTCTTCCCTTCAAATTCAGCCGTTTACAGTACAGACTGTCTGGGAAATGTCTGTCTAGACTCTCATTTTGGTTAAAGGAGAGAAAAAGCTACTTCTGAAGTGTGCTGGGTCTCATTCCAGTGTATCTTGGGCCTAAACAGGCCAGATGAATTGGACTTGAGAAGTTCCTATTTTTCTCCATTGACTTAAAGAGAATGTATAGAAGCAGTTCACATGAGGTTATTAGTGTTGTAAGAGTCTAATGTTAAGGAGGCCACTCTGATCCTGAATGTCTGCAATTACCTAAGTGTAGTGCTGAAAGCATAGTTTCCGTCACAAAACCATAATTGGGCATTATTGTGAAGGCGCAGGCTGATATAGCAGGTTACCTTGAGAATCACTTGAGAAAACTGCATTGTCTGTCCCTTGCATGGTTAACAAAAGTGTGGGCACACACATACAAATATATAAAAATATATATTCATTTTTACTTACTAAAACTGTAATTAAAAAAAATGAGAATCATTGCCAGAATGTGCCTTTCCTATTCATAACTTATAAAATACTCTTTTTATTACCTGTTAGAAATGGCATACTGCTAACTGATGCAGAGAACAGACACCGATTTGAAAACAATACATTTTTGCAAATGTATTAAGACACTATCTGTTGAGGTGACAGGTTTTGAAAGCACTGGAGTACAAAAATATATATATTTTTAGCTAATGATTTAGATAAATGTGAATTCTCCTGGAAGAACGGTTGTTCAGAGAGGCTTTCCTGTGTTACAGAATGGAACTGTGAGGCTGTGCACTGTCTGAAATTATACAGATATATAATGATTTGATGCATGTTCAGTTTTTCCCCTTTAAATAAGCTATTTTATTGAATTTAAATTATTGTAGGGATATGAAAAGGTGTAGTTTGCTTTGTATTTATCCTCGAAGGGCCAGCAGATCATTGCTTTTTCTCTGAAATTAGATAGAAGTATCCAGATGGCAGATTTTAAGCCCATCAGGTGTTTAAAATATGCCCCTCAGCTAAAAAGAAGTATTATAGTTAAATCTGTCATGGCCTTTTTATTGCTCTGTGGTACACTTGACAGCTGCAGCCGTGAAAGAGAGAAGCTACAAGTAGGCCAGTTGGCCTGAAGTGGAATAGGTCAGTGGTTGGTTTCTTTAGCTGCCCCAGGGAGTTTGATAGACATACAGGCCTGATTTATGCAATTATTAAATCCATCATGGTATAAGCTCCCCTGGAGACAGTGAATTTGTTCCCATAGTTTCTACTACATCCTGTGGTAGGCATTACAGAAGTAATGTAAGTGAAACATGGAGGGGTGAAAAAAGGACACCCTCCCCAACCGCAACAAAACAAGAATCCCACATCTCTAAGGACTCCTGAGTAATACTAGTAGTACTAATAAAGTGCATCTGGGCTGGTACCTTGCACTGCTTTTTTCATCTGGCGCTCATTCAGACCTGTCATGTTAGGCTGAATGCTGATCATTCGTATCCCAGAATCCTTTTATCTGAACAGAGCAACATCTACACTGTGTGCTTTTGGCAAAGGAGATGCGCTGCTTTTCAAATGTCTTTAAAAAGCAATACAGTCTCTTCTTTGCATCTTGATAAACTGCTGCTAATCATGAAGAAAGAGTAAATCTGTTTGTGATCTTGTAGTGACTATAAGTACTTGCAGTCAAATCAGCTTTCAGTGCAGGGATGATTACTGCCTGATTCAGAGAAGAGGATATGTTTGGGTTCTTTATTTGCATGCATATGTAGGTGTTTATGTAGACACTGACTTGGGGAGACTAATACAGTTTTAGCTTCTTTGCTTCTTCTTGCTTCTTTCTCCAATTGAAAAAAAAAAACAAAAAACAAAAAACAAAAAACGAGACAAATAATGCATATACTTTCTTTGTTTGTTTGTTCAATAAACCATAGGGAAGGATAGCCTATAACTTTGTGTGCGGTAGCAGGAGACACACGTTGCAAGACAAGAGAGCAAAACCTTTATCCAGAAGGCCATATGATCATAATCCTGCATAAACAGTCTCTGATAGCTCTGGTGAATTGTAAGGGATATTTTTGAGAGTGAATGTGCATGGCTGGAGCGAAATGAAGTACCACTAGTGATGCCCCTTTTATGAGAACGTTATCCTGCAGCAAGGTATCTTGAGTTAACTGTGCTTACATCTGAAGTCTTCCTGTGATTTCAGATTCCAGCGGGGTGACTACCACATCGATGTCTGCATCAATGACTACCTGGATGTGTTCTGCCCTCACTATGAAGACTCGGTGCCAGAAGATAAGACCGAACGTTACATTCTGTACATGGTAAATTTCGATGGCTACAGCTCCTGCGATCACACCTCCAAAGGGTTCAAGAGGTGGGAGTGTAATCGGCCACATTCCCCGAACGGACCATTGAAGTTCTCCGAAAAGTTCCAGCTCTTCACGCCCTTCTCACTAGGATTTGAGTTCAGGCCAGGCCGGGAATATTTCTACATCTGTGAGTATATAGAGATTTACCACTGCTGCACAGCAGGTGCTAATTTTTCACCTATGCTTTGTGGAAATACAGAAGGACAAACAGTATATAATGCAGATGTCTCACAGTGAATGCAGGCTTAACTGTCCCCAGATACATTAGCTAGGGATCTAGCTAGTAAAAATGAGATTAAATCACAGCTTCTTTTCTCACATGAAATAGCATGTCAGCCTGTTCACTGAACTGTGGCTGACTGTTAAAGCAAAATGCACAATTACGTTTATTCCAGCACTCTGAAGTAGAGGAGGAGGAGGAGGGGGAGGGGGCAAGAAGGGTAGAATGGAAGCTATCCCAGAATATGAGGAAAAATAATTAATCCTTTGCATGTGAAATTCGTGGATTTTCTTATTTGTTCATATGAAATACTGTTGTCTCCGTAATATTTATCACAGGGAAAGTGACTTTGTCGTTTGTAAGTGTTATGGCTGCTGATGTCAGTAGTCCAGTAGTATTTAAAGTTGTAATTTCTTAGGGTAAATACTTCTAGCATCAAGCCAAGTGGCTTCTTTTTTCTTCCTTCTTTTTTTCCCCTCCTTTTTCTTAGACGAGCTGTTTCTGTCAGCATGGGCAATGTGGGGTGCAGTGGGAGCAGGTGGCAAGCAGGGGGGTGTGAATGGGCTCACACACCTTCACGCCCACTCCCCAAAGCACTGGGGACGGAGCACCCTCCCAGAGCTGTGTTCTCTTGCACAGCGGTCTGCTTGAGTCTGCTCTAGGCACCCAGAGGAGATGCAGGATAACATCTGGGGCTAAGGAAGTAAAAACAGCAGGAAGTTAAAAACCCGTGGGTTGAGCTATGACTGATTCCCTGACCCCACTGTGCGGTTGATACTCATTCAGCTGTCTCATTTATTTAATCTTCCAACGCAGATCTTATTTCATAAATTTGTTTTGTACCTGAATCTTCTGCTCCTAATAAGGTTTGACTGCTCCAGCAGTATTTTTTTTTCTGTTTTTAGTTTTAGACTAGAGAGTTTAAAGCTTTGGACAGACTGTAGATCCCAATAAATATTGCCTTCGTATGTGTAGCTGGCCTTTCTACTCTGAAACAGTCATTCCACCTCATTTCACCAGAGAAACTGAGCATGATGCCTGTTTTTCAGCCTCATTTCTTCAGCACTGAGAGTTTTATTTCCCTTTCTAAATCTACAGTTTTCCATTAATTTATTTTTTTTCCGGCAAATTAAAACCTCTAATGAGTGGTGATTCAGCATCAGAACAATACCTTGTTCTTGTGCTGAAGCATAGTAGTAATGATAATAAATAATAATAATAATAACAACAACAACAATATGCTCATTAATTATTATTATTTAAAACCAAACTGTAATGTTACTTTAAAGTGTTGTTTAATATGGTCGTGAGAAATCGTGTAGAGATATCAGAGTTAAGAGGATAATGTTCTAGGATAAATAAATCTGTACTGTGTAGGCACAGTCCTACTCTCGTCACTCACAAAAGCTTGCTTTTAACTTCAGCAGTTTTGTGTCATTCAAAACTCCAATATCAGGCTCCCCGGGAACAATTGGTGGCAGGTTTTTGCTTGTTTCTTTGTTTGGTTTTTTTTAGTTCAGTTCCTGAGCATCAACATCATCATCAAAAAGCAGGAATACTTAAGCTAAGGAATGCAGTCTTTACCATTACATGATCATGATAAAATATAGCACAGGGATGGCATCAGTAGTTACAAACATTAAAATTAAAAACAAATTGGTTTTCTAAATTTTAAAAAAGAAAGAAAGTGTTTAGTAAAAGTGGAAACTAACCATGAAAGTGAAGGAAAAAAATATGAGAAATTGCGACTTGGTCTGTCTAGCTAATAGCTTCATTGCTAGAACATACAAAAACCATTGAACACTCAAGCAAGACGTTATTGTACAAATGCACCCATGTTGCTTATGCCTGGTTTTCCTTGTTTGTGGTTAAATTCAATATTTCACCAAAAATCATTATGTATCTTTGATAACATTCATTTGGCTGGGTCATTTAACTGTCAAGGGCGCCCTTCCAAATAATTGTTCCAAAGTGCTTTAAAATATGAAGAGCTTTATGATATTCAACTGCATTTAGATGGCATTATTTTTTTTCAGTGAAAGGTAAAATAGGAAAAAATTAGCAGCAAAGAGGTGTTCATTTACTAGTAGCTTATTGACCTGGCATTCACTGAAATTAAATGTTTAGGCATATTTCAGAGACACAAAAGCATTTTTCATTTTTTTCTGTAGTTCAAGTATTTTTGCCCTCATCCTTCGCTCTGCTGAGGGCAGTAACAAGGTTGGCAATGAAGCAGTTGCAGAGAAGCACTGTACACTACATTAACAATTAAATGTAAACCTTCTCGAGAGAGAGTTGGCTTTCTTTCCTGAAATGTTTTTCTCTTAGTTTGTGCTGAAGAAAGAAGATGGTGAAAAGTTGTTCCCTGTTTCCTTATCAAAATTGTAAGCAGTCTCTAGTCTGGGCTACAGAGACTGCCTTTGTTATCTTTCTGCATCTACACGTTGAAGAAATTACTGCTTCGCCGGGGAAGGTTTCCTTTCTTCTGCAGATCTGAAACCTTTGCCCTCTACTGAGGAGAGGGGGAAGGCTGTCTCTGTAGCATCAGTCTGGTATATTCTATTTAAGGGTTATAAAATATGTCATATAGTCTAGACTTCTGGAAAGAGAAGTATTAAGTGGTTGTTTAGGTACGTAACTGAATTACTGTCTGGAGCTTTTTTGAAAATCTTCTCAGTTTACCTTTTAAGGATGTGACTTGCCTCTTTTCTTCAATTATTTTCAGAAAATGCAATCATTTGAGAACAATCACTGTCTCTTTTTCTGAACTGTTGGTTTTGAAAATGCCACTTTTCTTTGTTGTGCCCTTGCCTTTGTATATCACTCAGATGAACTTGAATTCTTTGCATGTTCATTCTAGGAAAATACAAGAAAAAATAATCTATTTTTCTGATATCAAATTTACACTGAAGAAGTGAGTTAAACATTGCAGAAATGCAATCAACAGGTACTGATTAAGTTTACATTTGAAAGAAGAAAAGGTTATTGAATATTTACAGATAAAGTAAATATTGTTTAGTTAAGGAGTGCACAGTCGGGGGCTGGGGAAAGTAAATAATAGATCATGACCTGTAGTCTTGATTTGTACTTAGTTCTTAGCTGGTGCTCACCTCAGATTAGTGTATGTTAGCATGAAAACAGACAAAATAATATTCCTACTGAAACAGAAAAAAGATGAAATATAGAGAAAGCAGAAACTAGTACTTAGTGGTACGACAGTGACTTTAATGTCCTTCAGAAGGGAAAATAAGTTTGGGTATGCGGATTAAAGTGGGGTATTGTGCAAGGCGAGATAAAAAGAGGAAAAAAAGAAGATCCTAAAATGTATAATCTTATATAATTGTATAATTCAAAATAAGTATGTAATTTTCATTACTTTAAGTTAACTGTGGGTGTTTTATTTTTGATAATGTGCTAAGTATTGAATAAAATACCAGTAACAACTTCAGCAAATATACATCACAGCTGTTGGAATGAAAAAATGAAGACATGGCTAGAACCAGACTGGTGCAGATTGCTGCGGAATCCTGACCACAGTTTCCAAACCAGCCTCCTGTGTCGCTTTAAGATAGACCACGTTGCTCTTTTCTTGAAAACGATGTATCATGGGTGTAGTGTCAGAAGTTGTGCTAATATTAAGCTGTAACATATGCTTTCTTCTGAGTGATCAGTCCAGTTATTCCATCAAAGAATTCGGTATTTGACATGGTTTACCCTTAAGAAATCTGTGCTGTTTTTATATCCTTCAAGATTTCATATGTATTGTTTATTTAGTCATTTGATCACTGTAAATATTGTCATTTATGTATGCTTATACACTTTTCCTAGAGAGACCATGTAGGTTTGCTCTTTTTCACTGTTCTCTTGCTGCTCTTCTGTTCTCCACAAGATCTAGAAGGGTTTTGCTAGCAGTTAGCAGGCTTCGTGTGTAATTTATCTAAACATAATTTAAGTGGTTCCTTCTCCATTCTTATTGAGAAAAGAGCTGCTTTCATCTTGTAAAAATCCTGTTGTCTTACCTGTGGCTTATTTGTGGAAACTTTTTTGTTACTGTTTCTTTCTAGTTTTATCTCATGCAGGTGTCTTTCTGATTTTACTTCAAAATGCTTATTCTGTTTCTTTGTATCACCTTTAATGATGTGTGATTATCACTGTATCTTTGTTGTCACCATGTCTTTGCATGAAGCTTCTGATTGTCAATTCAGGAAGCTTTTGTTGTAACCGTATTCTTCCTGACCACACCAGGATTTGAATTCAATTATGATTATAAATAATATTTTTAATCGTTCTTAAATTTATGATTAAGAAACTGCGTCTGTGAAGTGCTTACAGTTGTACATACACTTCTTTTTAGTAACATCCAGTTTTCCCATACTCCTTTTCCTCATAGAATACATTCCCAGGGAACCTACTGTTACCTGTTCCCTTGGTTTTCTTAATGTTTGCCTTTATTCCCCATCATCCTTGTTTCTCTGCACTAATTCCTTTTTGGTTTTTTTTCCTGAAATTTCTGACCTCCTGAGGGCTTTTCTTCAAATTACATTCCACTCTGATGGTCTTAGCTGCTGCTTCTATAGAAGAACTTGTGATTTTCATAGTTTCGGATACAAAATTGTCTATCTTCTGTTAGCTTGTTCCATCTCTGTGACTGGAAGTTGTCCTCACCATGTTCCAAAAACTGTGGGACTGTTTGAATCCTGCTGTCATTTTTCTCTGACAACTGCTGGGTAGCTGGACCATCTCTCTGCAACCATCTGCACACATCTGGAGGCTTCTCTGTTTCAAAAGATCTTAAGGAAGAAACAGTAGTAGAAAAAAGTGTTTATAATGCCTCCACTTCTTTTTGTTATACTGTTGCCTGTTAATTAGGTAGTTACCTTATTAATAAGGTATTTAGCTGAACCTTT